GAGGCACACGGATGAGGGAAGAAGGGAATGACAGTACTCAAAAAGTTCCATGCTTTCTGATGTGGTTGAAATAATATTGGGAATAGGCACCTGGATGCCTATTCGATAACTTGTGCGTGTAGACGCAAGCGACACACGCTTTTATTCTTCGCTTAGAACATTAATCATCGCAGTCACATTGGGAAAAACACGTGTAGGCGTGAAGCCACGTTTTCCAGAGTCATCTGTTTCCCGATGCGCATATGATGAGAATCCCGCGCCCAACGTTTTTCTATTTGTAGCAGGTGACTCCTCCATTTCCAGGACATTTTAGGTAACTACAATGACGGACGTTAATACTGCAGCTAGGTCATTGGGGCCGGTCTCAAACGGTGACCGCTCAGACAAACTAGCCGGCGAGGAGGGATCTGAAGAAAGTCAAGAGAGTCGGACTCTGTTAATGGTAGCAATGATTCTGCTGGACCTAAATCAGTGTATCCCGAGCGGCATCAGCGCCAAATGTATAGTGGACAGTGATGTGGATAATCAGCCCGGCGTGAAGGAAAACCGGGAGAAATGCAGACAGAACGCGAGCAGGGTGAAAAGGACACGGAACCGCGACAGACTGCATGTATCCGCTGAGAAGAGACACTGCTGCCCCTATGCTGGCTGTGGGAAAATATACGGCAAGTCGTCCCATCTTAAGGCGCACTTCAGAGTACACACCGGTAAGAAATAAGCACAGTTGAATTATTTTGTGCTTAAGTGTACAGTAACTCAACTAACGCCGGTAATTCGATTCGGATCGTTCGTTTATCTGGCCCACAGTCTGTTATCACGCCCCACGCCCGCGTGTTCTGTTCGGTTTCGGGAACTGCCACTCATGTAACGGTGGGTGTAACCGCAGGCGGAGCGCTCATGGGTACACATGAGGGTGGAACAGGACACACTGTTACTAATCAAAGTGTGAGCAAACATGTTGCTTAGTCCACATTGTTACGCAGGGCACCGTGAGACCATTAAATTGCGTAATCGTGTGGTAAAAATGCTAGAAGTAGCCTATTATCATTTCAGGCTTGCTAATTTGCAGGCTAATGATTCGGTTGGGCCCATATCGCGAAATAAATTCTGTTTTCTGGTTTATGCATCATATGCACTAATATGTCTATTCTATTCTATTCTAATAATTAGTCTAATCTCAGTGTGTGCCGTGGCCGCTGGTCCTTGATGATCCGCATACTTCAATGCGACACGCACTAAAATAACCGCATATAACCTAACAACGCAACGATGACGTGATGTGATTCTACAGTTGTAAACATCCGGCACGTGGTGCCGCGTTGTAGCCAAGCGCGGCCCCTCTCATTGAGTGCATTCACATTCAGAGCAAATCACTAGTAACAAAAAAATAAAAAATCAGCGATTTCTCCGGTTTTTACATACGCACACTGAACAAGTTGCCAAAACGCCGGTGAAGGTGCGTACATGCATGGAAAAATCTAGACGTGCCGATTTTTTTATTTTTGCTGCTGCTATCTGTTTTTGTCAGTAGGGGCTGATATAAAAACAGTCTTAAATTTCTCTCTCCTATGTGTGTGTTCTTAGGTGAGAGGCCCTTTCAGTGTACCTGGCCAGGCTGCGCAAAGAAATTCTCACGGTCGGATGAACTGACGCGACATTTTCGCACGCACACCGGGGAGAAGCGTTTCATGTGCCCGCTCTGCGACAAATGCTTCATGAGAAGCGATCACCTCACCAAACACGCCCGCAGACACGTCAACTTCCACCCCAGTATGCTTCAGGGTCCTGCCGGGCGAAGACGACACTCTTCAACGTCTACATCGTCCTCTGGCTCCAGCGATCACATGTCTGCTGGTGTTTGAGCAACCATGTGACCCCTCACTGCACATTTTGGATGTCTGTCTTTCTTGAGGCTCAGATCTTGGAGCCTCTGATATTGAGGTGATGATATGAGATATCAGGTGTGTTACATAATGGAGACATACAAAATATGTTGTGCTGGAGTTCTCCATGACAAAGCCTGAAAATGGGACTGCTCAATGGAATGGACAGAAATCATCAGCTTTAGGCAGAAACAATAATGCACATTTAGTTCAAGGGTTATTTAAAAATTATAGGGGTATTTATAACTTATCACATATCATGAATATAAGATTGTTCAATACAGAGTCAGGGGATTTATTACACACCCAACTGTGACAAAGGGAAGTGAAAAATATATAGTGTGTGGTGAAACGGAGACACATTTTAATGATCACTTTAAAGTGTCCAATTTTGCAGTGGTCCAGTTTGCAGAAGTGTATGGGTTTTAAAATAATCGCTATGAATGTTTTCGGTTATTTTGTGTTATTTACAGGGACAGCAGTTGACTTAAGTGTTGAAGATGGCATTTGTATGATATTAAAACATGGTTACTTATGAGATTAACTTCGCATCGTGTGAGGTTTTACGCACATAAACAAGCTTTGGTGTTTTTTAAGCAATCATAAGTAATTATTTGCATATTCTAATCAGTTATGCAAAAGAATGTAACTTATTTAATGTACAGCATTGAAAATATTCAGAACCGTTTTATCATTTCTTTTTGAAACTTTTATTTGTTTTTTGTTTTTTTGGTCAGCCTTCTCAAGTGATGTAGTGAAAATGAGAGAAGTTCACTGATTAATAGTTTACCACCGCCATCTATAGGTGTGTTATGGGAAAACACAAGGTAAGAGCTGTGCCTTAGATCTCTGTACACTGCACAGCTGAAAAAGACAGAACAAAGATTGTATATTTCTCCCACTACCTATGATTTTATTAGCAGCCTATAGTATTTACAATCAATCCATGAACATGAATAACATTATCTTTTATTAGTTTTATTAATGGGTTTTTCATTTTCATACAAGTTCCTTTTGACTTCAGAAGTCTTTCCACTGTTCAGTTGTTTACTTGAAATAATGAATGTTATTTGAATATAGATTTAGTTTAAATCTACCACAATGATCAGCCATTGTGCTTTAAAAGACACAAACTGAATTTTACATGTGAATCAACGATCAATGCATCTATTGGATCTTTATTCAATAACAATTGTATAGATTTTTATATTTTATGTTATGATAACTGATCAACAAATATTTGGCTTTTATTGTCACATAGTATCTGTGCTAATTTATTGTTCAGATATTCCATATGTTCAGTAGGTTGTGAGCCTGAATTCAAGCAGGTCATTTAAAACATACTGTCATTGTAAAAATGCTCAACCTGTGCCTTGTTTTGAGTTTAAGAAGAACTTTAGAACTTTGAGTTTAAGAACTCTTATCTTAGACTGCAGAATGTAATTAGCAAGTTACTGAGAAGTACATTGATGTAATTTACAAAAGCCTTCTCAGTTGTGTTGTGAATGCCAATGTTGTGATGTGTATATCTGTGTCTTACAGACTTTGAGCCACTACCAGTACATACATATTCTGTACTTGTACATAAGTATAATTTGTGCAACATTCATATTTTGGCTTTCCTGTACCTGTAAATTATGTAAATAAAGGGCTAATTAAAAAAAGAAAAGTGTAATTCAGGTCTGCTTTTATTGATATCACTGAAACCAATAACAACATTGTTATTACATAAATGGACTTTCTCACATAATTAACATATTTATAACATGAAAACACAGCCTTTGTCCAACAAATGCTCACCTTTGATTACACTTTGAATTTTGATACTTCAGGTCATTACACTATTTTAGTCATAGTTAAAACAGACTAAAAATTGAATATGAGCAGTTCGAATGAAAACAGTTTGCATTTTGAGCTACAACTTGATCAAGACAATATGAAGAGTGTAAAGATAACACATAAAATGTGTTTGGCTTTCAAAGCTGAATGGAAGGATAAAATCTGTAAAAGGATTTCATGTGTAGATGAACAGCGCAGTTTCATCATTGATAGCTTGAATCATTTTAATAATAACTATAATGAGGCCAGGGATTTGATCAGTTTAGCAACATTAACATTCTAAGGTTAGTTCCAAAGACCAGCAGAAAACAGTGCTTTTAAATAGCCCACAATGTCTGAGAAAGTAACTGATTTCCATGAAATGAAGCGATATATTCTGATTGGTGGTATGCATATAAAATGCTCAATTAAAATGGACACAAGGTAAAGTGATTCCAACAAGGAGCATAAACATTCTTTGGCGCCTTCAAGTCTGTGAAATCTGAACATCTTCCAGACTAAAGCAGTACTTACTGTAAGAAAGCTTACAGGCGTTCTACATCTAACATGTTTGGACATTCTAAGAAACGGAACAGGATTTTCAAAATGTCATAAAGGCTATTCAATCATACCCAGTGATTTCTGACCTTTGAAAAACTGCTTTGAGAGACAGAAAGGTCTTCATGTAATCATTTTATCATCTTCGGTCTGTAGTGAGAGGTTACTGTGAAAATAACAACCGTTCAGAAATGACCAATCAAATAAAGAAGGGTTACTGTATTTCCTTTTCGTTCATGACTCATTCGGATCTCAAATCCAGCGTAGTTTCAAACATGATTCAATGAAATGCTTGTGAGATATCAAGAGTAAATAAAAAGTGTGATGCCCAGGCACATGCCAGACAAGGCTACTGTTAGTGCTGCAGTACGAATGCACCAACATGCAAAATGTTCAACAGAAACGAATCCAAGTATAGCCTCAATAGCAGCCACGAACAATAAACATCCAACCAGATCCGTACGGAAATCAAATCTTACCATAACGACAATGTTAATGCAATGAGTGCAACAGGAAAGCAGAGAATTCAGGGAATAAGCTATTTCAAACTCTCTGTAACATCGAGTTGTTTTTAAATTCACAATTAAAGTCATTTTAATGCTTTATTTGTTCTACGTTCACTTGTACAGTATAACACAATGCCAGCTAGGAGGTGAAAGTGAGCAGACTCTCCTAACGTAGTAGCAAACAGTGCATATCCTGCCATAGGAGGAAGCAACCAATAATTATAAGTAAGAGTAAATGTGTGTATGTGTGTGTATTAGCACATGTAATGTGTTTTGTGTGTCTGTGTGTTCACATTTTCCTGTACACCATGTTCATCATAACGTTTACTGTACATTTCCCTCTGTAATATTGATTAGATGTCTTATCTGAGGTTATGAAAGGGAAAGAGGGAGGGGAAGAGAGAGAGGGAGCACAGGGAGGGGAAAAGGTGACAGGTTTACTGGATTTGACAAGCAGTGGAGGAGGTGGCTTGGCAGCAGATGCAGGTGGAGTTAACGGATTTGGGTGGTATGAGGTCCAGGTCTTCATCATCGGGGATCTCATCCAGCCTGTATCCATCTTTCAGTAGTTGGATGTTCAGATCCTGGTTTATCTGCTGCAGGAAGCAACGAACAGCATGTCAGGCCAGGCTGCATAACAACCACTAATTAAATTATATAAATTAGTTCAATTTTCCTGGCAGCAGTTGTTTAATAGATTAATAAGACTACAGGTTCAATAGCTTGATTGGGACATTTATTGGTTTAATGAATCAATGACATGAACAACAACATGTATATGATTAACAACAACAAATGAGCAATGGTGACCTTTAAAGGAATAATTCACCCAAAAATTAAAATTTGCTAAAAAATTTAGCCACCCATAGGCCATCCAAGATGTAGATGAGTTTGTTTCTTCCTTGGAACAGATTTGGAGAAATTTAGCATTACATCACTTGCTCACCAACTCTGCAGTGAATGGGTGCCGTCAGAATGAGAGTCCAAACAACTAATACAAACATTACAATCACATGCAGTCCACCGAATAAAGTCCTATGAAAAGCTACAGTATACGGGTTCATAATCCATAATACCATTGTTTTGGACTGTTTTCGCTTGTAAATGGTGCTTGATCTGTGCATATTCTTTCCTGCTTCAGACAAGACGACTTTTCACTAGAGAAAGCAATAATATGGATAGAGGACTTGTATTTTAGCTGGAAGCAATGGTTTGACATTAAAAACATCTTAATGATGAGTTTGTGTATTAAACACATGCAGCTTTTCACAAGATCTTAATTGATTACTTGTGTATTATTGTGATGTTTGCATCAGCTGTTTTAAACCCCCATTCACTGCAGAGGATCCATAAGTAAGCAAGTGATGTAATGCTACATTTCTCCAAATATGTTCAGACGAAGAAACAAACTCATCCACGTCTTGGGTTGCCTGAGGGCGAGTAAGTTTTAGAACAAAAGGGAATTTAGTGCATAAAAGATTGTGAGTGGCATCTGAGAAGGAAATCCACTGTCAAGATGCTTGGGGTATGGGGCTTAGGACATTAACCAGAGATCATAGGTACCTGTTCCCTTAGAGACCTCACCTCGGCTGACGAGTATCCTGACGAAGAATATCTAGACATGTCAAAGTCGTCATCGCTGCAAGGCAAGTGAACACAGTGAGTTTGAGACCTGTGGCCAATGGGGGCATAAATAAATCAGTGAAGGATGAGTGAAGAGCTTACCTGTCTGTGTCAAGAGCAACTAAAGGTTTCTCATCTGGACTTTGGTCTAAAGAAGAGTAACCTTTATTGGGAACCACTAGCCTGGATGGAAAGAGAAATAGAGACAGGTTTTTGAAATAATGTGAAATAAAACAGTCTATGTACATATTGAAAACTATGATCATTTTCTCTTGTATTTACCTTGTTCTGGCCATCACGTTATTTTTCTTGGGTTGTTGATTGACAGGGCTTCCAGCATTGCCATTTTTCAGTGATCCTTTCCTAACCAACTCTCTCTTTTTGTCTGTGAGAGAGAAAAATATTAGACATATTTATATTTTAATCATGTCAAATGAAACAACACATAATTGCAAAAATTGCTTTAAATAAAAGCATAGCATTAGCATTTGGCAGTATAAACAATCCCACAACTAACCTATCTTCATGTGGAGAGGGGAAGGTTTATAGTTAAGGGTGGCAGGCTCACTCTCCCTGGTATCTGAGTCTGCCTCTGATGTGGTCGATGATGCTGGATCCTGGTGGAAAAGAGGGAAAAAGAGAAGTGTCAGGGCAGTCTAGTTGGTCGTTCTTCTTGACAAGAGCCTTGACAGTCCATTTTTATCAATGTAGATGAGCAAAGCTTTACTTTATTTCTACTGTTTGATTTCTGCCAGCTCATTATGATACCCTGGGATTGATGCGAAAGGAAACACAACATTTTCAGAAGCAAAGGGTGCAATTTGCCAACTTCAAATAAGGATCAGGTCAAGAATCGTGACAAATCATTTTAAAATTTCAAAAGCCTAAATCTAATAAAACTGGAAAAAAGGATGAACAAATATAGGTGCAGTGCAACACATTTTGATATGCCGAGCACAAAAAAACTGTACATATTGTATTGTCCATATAATATAATATAATAATATTACACCAAATCAGTGGGTCACAACCAAAAAATGGATTGCAGACCCAAAAAGGTTAACATTTTAAAGGGGTCCTATTATGCTTTTTCACTTTTTGAATTTTAGTCAGTGTGTAGTGTGTATGTTTGGGCATAAAAAAAGATCTTCAAACTTACAAATCTCAAAGTCCACTCCAAAGGGAGATATTTCGGGGTTTTTTTTAATCCCTTTTCAAGAACTACAACGAACGGCTCGTTTGGACTACAGCGTTTGTTTTCGGGGTTTTGTGTCACACATATCACACAAAATCACAAAGCGGTCCATTAGAATATCATTAAAATAATTCCCGCCTACGGAAATTCGAATGGTTGGGGCGAGGTCGTGGTTAGAACGCTTGGGTGAGTGCCTCAGACAAGACGACGAAGAAGAAGTGCTGCTGTAGCCTCAAGTTTTCCCTGGTATTGTAGTGCTTTTAAAGATTTCTCACCTGTGAATGACACATGATGTAGCCCAGCGGTTAATCCAGTCCTCGCGCCAGCTCGTTAGAAGTGAGCTACGTGCATGAACTGTGTTCCGATCGATATGATCCCTACACAGTGTTCATTGCTCCCTACTCCCTGAGCGGGGTAAATCCGTTGAAGTTTACTTCACTTCGGAACATGGGCTGGAATTGGGAACCTGATGTAGCCTATTGTAGTAATGTTGTCTCTGGTCTGTGAGTGTAAATGCGTTCAGGGGGCGTGGCTTTGGACGGCGATTGCAGGAAGGGTGGGACGTTCGCTTTCAGTGCTATCAGGCTAAAGTTAGCATTTTCCAAGATCTCCTATTGTACCTTTAACTAAACTTGCTGCTTTGGCAAGGGGCGGGCAGTACTGAAACACCGTCTAAGCTGTTCGCCAATCACAACGCATTGGGATAGCTAACCAATCACATCACATTTCGTTTTTCGGAAGGTTCATCAAACCCGGAACTAATCGAGCCATTTGTGCCAGACTGGGGAGAAAGGTATTTTAATAATGTAAATTATGTAAAAAAAATAATGCGTTTTTCGAACCACAGAGCATGAGAGCATGTTCTAGTACACCCCAAAACAAATTCAAGACATTGTAAAAGAGCACAATAGGACCCCTTTAAGATGAAAAGGCTAACCCCTTTAAGATATTTGTCAAAAAGCCTATTTTAGGAACTAAAGTTCATTTCATGTTTCCTAGAGGGACGATTATTAGTGTTACCTGCCAGTGAAGACCGCTGTCTGTCTTTGTTTATGCTGCTGCTATGTTTTCTGTAATGTGTTCATATAATACAAAACATCTCATTTCATACCAGAGGCATATGCAGATGCATATATTGGAGTAAAATAAATGTCTCAATCTAAAGACTTCTCCTGCTCTCCTGATTCTCTGACCGGAATCTGGTCCATATTTGGCCGCCTCAACCAGTTGTAATTCGAAATGTAGTAAGGTTTACTACAATATTTATATCATCTGATATAGTTATTATCACACGACGAGTGACGTATTCTCCAAATATCAGCACGACAGCAAATGTGATATTGATTAGATGAACAGCTCAATAAACAAAAAGTTAATAATAAGTGACTTACATTTTAAACACAACAGTTCTTGTTTTTGCTATATTTCAACAATGAAAATAGTTCCAAACAAAGCAGAAATGTTTTGTGTCTCTGAGCAACACAGGACGGTGTTTCGTTACTGAATCAATCAGCCGTTTGAATGAATCGGTTGAATGAATGTCTCAATGACTCACTCATGCAGTGATTTGCCACCACCTACTGGCGATTTTAGGTTTATATTTTAAATCCAAATCATTTCAAATATCAGTATTCAACATTTTGTTTTTCAAACATCAAAACATTATTTATGCATTTGTAACTGCAGGTTAAATACATTTATGTTCTGCATTAAACAGTCTGTGTGAATGCATCTAAATGCCACTTCAGATGCGGATTCTGTGCCACTTCTGCATAGCAAACACAAATTTTGTTGATACTGATTTCATTTGATTGTTAACAGCCCTATAGTGTCCTACTATTTGAATTTATTGATTAAATGTAAGAATTTTACACAAAAGATGACGCATTCATTTAATTAGGTTAGAAAAAAATTGGCCTTATAAAGGTAAAAATGCCCATAAAATGTAAAAATCAATTTAAACTTATTGGAAAAGTACATTTCTGTTACTCCTGCAAATTAACCACCACACAGAATATGAAGAATATCAAAATCTTTAGAAGTCAGCTGTCCACAATAGTCCTAAACCTGTCAAAGGCCCTGTCCCAAATGGAACACTTTATGTGCACTTGCGATCTTATGGACTTACAATGGCCGCCGCATGCGCGTGTCCGTTAAGTCCACGAGACCGTAGGGTGTCCCATTTGTAATTTTAGCATTCAGAAGGGTGCTTGCGAGCGCCCTCGATCCGCACTTTTGCCGAGCCCGCACTGGGGCGAGCTCCGCAGCAGACTTCTACCCGACAGTCAAAGCGGCATTACGCCACGAAAGTGCGGACTCAGAGGAAGACCGCGAGGGTTCAGGGTGCCATTACCAGCACAATAGCACACTCAGCAAAATATTGTCTTGTTATCGTTATCGACAAAATTCCAGAAAATATCGAGATATAATTTTTTTGCCATTATTTCACACCCCTAATCAAAATACATGTCGTTAAACCAGGGGGGGGGTTGGCTGACTCTTAACTTTTATAAAGAATATCTCTTTGGATTTGAGACTTTAGTCTTTGCAACTTTGCGGGGCATAGAGGAGAAACAATAATGTACAGTATGTGGAAAATAATGTGTTTTTTTTACTTTAAACCACATAAACACATTTCATTACACCAAACACACAAAATAATGTTCTTTTTAGCAGCATCATATGACCCCTTTAAGATTCGGTTACAGAAAGTGCAAGCCAAAATACGAAGACAAAGGGGTAAAACAACGGTAAACACTCGTGGTTCTTTTACGAGAATGAGGAATTTGATACTATGTTTGAGTTGCAATCGAGACGCTGAACTTGCAGAGTTACTTCTCAACAGGTAAGCAAAAATCTGCATACTTCACCTTGAAAACATTTTTTTTCCCCAACCGTAATTTATTTTGTGTGGTGAATACAGAAAGCATAACGATTGAATTTGAACAGACATTTAGTCAATTGACAATATTGTCAATTGTTCTGTTCAGTCTGTCACATTAATACTTATGCATATTTATTAGACTTGTGCAGTTAATGTGAATAATTTCCCCTTCCTGATCTGAAGGACAATTTTGTACAACTGTATTATAAACAGTTCGGGTATTGTGTTGGGTCCACTTGATGACCAATGTAAAATCTGGGTCCTGAAGCAATAACAGATGAGAACCACTGATCTAGAACTAACCCAAAGGTACACTAACATCTGCTGTACGTAAGGGTCATGGGTTAAATGTGGGCCATCCAGATGTCTCTTCGAACAGAGCTGGTTTCCTAAGAATTATTGATCAATTTGTCATGGGTGGGAGGGGTATGGACATTCAGGTACCTTCGCACGTATTCTGCATGATGAAGCAAACTAAGGCGATAAAGGCCTCTACTAGATTGACGAAACACACAATATTAACGTTATTTCAAATGAACGTTACAGACTGCGTTACGATGGAAGTACGAAGATATATAAGAACAAGTTGAGCCGAAGTTATAAAATAAAATGAAGCAGATGTTGTTTTCGATGCAGGGAGACACACAGTCTCAGTGCGCAGCATCATAGTAACGTTAGCATCCTTACATTAGCTAGCAAAATGCATATCAGACATAGAAGCGACATCACAGTGAGAACATCTCAAAGGAGTTAGGAGGTTACCCATACTAATAGTCCATGTGAAACCCCATATGAACAGCTGTGATAAGACTCTGTATGAAAAAATCTCAGCCGGAGTGTTTGCTTCAATCATAGCTACGTACCTTTTGCAGTCAGATGTACAAATAAACACATAGATGCTTGCTTTCATACATGTAAATGGACACAAAAAGACATTCTCTAATTCAAAGGGGAATGTATGTTTGTGTCACTCATCCTCAGCAAAACATACAGGTTATGCAAACATGACATCCTCACAGATGGGAATGCAGATTACAGTTTATTAGTAATCTGGATTTTATTCCAGTGGCCAAATGCTGTTATGTAATTCTTTACTTTGTTTTCTGTACTCCACCTAACACACAAAACTGTTCTGAAGCTACTATGTGTCATTACTGCAATCTTTTCCCTCAAACAAATCACAAAAATAATCAGATTCTATTACAACAAAAAAGAAGGACAAATTGCAGGTAGAAAACAACTCCATTTCATGTTGAAATCATAACAAAAATAAATTGTGTAGTTTTGATTATATTAAAGGGGTCATATGATGTTGCTAAAAAGAACATTATTTTGTGTATTTGGTGTAATGAAATGTGTTTATGCGGTTTAAGGTTCAAAAAACACATTATTTTCCACATACTGTACATTATTGTTTCTCCTCTATGCTCCGCCTTTCTGAAACGCGTCGATTTTTACAAAGCTCATCTTTCTGAAAAGCGAGGTGTGCTCTGATTGGCCAGCTATCCAGTGCGTTGTGATTGACCGAATACCTCAAGCGTGTGACGGAAATATTACGCCCCTTAACATTCTGTGATGCTCTGTCCGCCCGGCCAGAGCGGACGAGACAAAAACATTAAAACCCATTATAAACGAGGCATTTGTTGCATCCAGTGGGGACATAATTATGGATTATAATGAC